ATAACAATGTTAAAGAGAGCAAGTGGATAGTGAGGTGGAAAGGGGAGGGGACCCAGAATCAGAACACAAAGGCCAGTGCTCTGGCCCTGCCACTCACATGGATCAGACTTCTTCCTTTAGGCCACTTTCATCTGTAAAAGGAGGAGAGGATCTATCTCTGATTAGGTGCAACTCTCCCCTTGGCCTCTGTTTCCTTCTTTACTTTAGCCCTGATGTTTATTAAGGCACTCGACCCTTAGGCGCTATTTTTTAAATCCTCTAAGTTGAATTATTTACTGACTCCAAACAGTCTATAGTTTGTCTGCAGATGCAGTCTCCTATATTATGCAAATACATTTCAATCAGCATGCAAATGAGAGTAAAAAGAAGTAAAGACCCACAGCTGGCTATGCCCCCCAAATGCCCCTGCCAGAAGTCAAATGTTCGTCACCAGGAAACACCTGACAGAGCCTCTACCTCATTAGCAGAGTCCCTGTGGTTAGGACCCAAACTCTGGCTTTTGGGAGAAAGTAAAGCCGCCAGGTTGAGCATCCCAAGCAGATTTTCAGGGCTGCAGTGAAGACTGCTAGGGAGCTGGCTGGTAATGCAGGAGGGTCCCTTACATCTGTCCTGTTGTGAGCAGATGGGGCACAGCTGCCCTGGTTCAACGCAGCTGGGCCACAGCCTGGTGCTGTGCTTCTCCCTGGGCAGCTTCTCCAACCATCTGAGGGCTCAGGGGCATAAGCTCTTCAGTAACTGTTCCGAGAAGCCCTGCAGACCTCGGCTCTGATTTTCAGTGCTTGCTTTCCAGCTGGTTTCTCAGGGACTGCTCCAGTAGGCTCTACTAAGTCTGATCCCTTTTACCTCCAGGAATAGCTCTTAATCCATCTTGCTCTCCATTTGCACTGCTGCTACGTTGGCTGAAACTCTCATCATTCTGTCTCCTGGGGCCAGTGCTAGCAGGAGACCCCATCAGTTCCGCTTCCAACCTTGATTCCTCCCAGCTGTCTTCTGCCACCGGAGTCTTTGGATATGTACCTCCTGTCAGATCGTTCCCATGCTAAGGACCCCTCATGGACTCCCATTGTTCTAAAGCAGTGATTTTCATTTCTATCCATATATTAGAATCACCCAGGGAGCTTTTAAAAAATTCAGATGCCTAGGGTCCCATCCCCAAAGGTTCTGATAGAATTGGATTGAATAAAGCACTCTCCAGAATCATTTATCCAAGGAAATTATGGAAATGCATTCTATTGTTTGGCATTCCAGGCCCCTGGGTGATTGGATCCTTTCTCACTTGTCTTCCTATTGTTCTCTCCTGCTTCTCATTCCAGACCTTTGCTTTTTTGTAGAGTCTCTCTGTCTCCTGGACTCTTGCTCTATGAGTAGAGAGCTCTTGTGCATTTTTCAGAACTTCCCTGAACTATCACCGTCTCTGCTGTGAAGCCTTTTTGGGATCCTCACATGCCATTACTTAGGCTTTCTTTCTTCTCTGCTCCCATATTACTGCACCACCCAAAATAGCAAGTGTTTTTTGCTTGCTTCTTTGTTTATCTCACTACCCTGAACTTAAAGGACAGTATTCCAATTCTTATTGCATGCATCTCTTCCATTTAACGAGAGACTATAGACACTATCCGATGTTTCTCTCCACACTTCCAGATGGGAGGGGCCATTTTGCAGTTGCTGTTCTGTCCACTTGTTTTAGCTAACATCATTGTCTACTTATGATGTGACATGAACTGTTCTACATGCCCTATTGTATTAACTACTGTATAATTTTCACAATGGTGTATAAATACAATCATTTTCCCCATTTGGCTGGGAAGAAAACTGAGGCAATAAGAATAGGAAGGCCACTCAACACATAGCAGGGCACAACAGATGTCTATTGAGTGAAAACATGTGTGTCAATGTGCTTTTTTCACAGACACATCTTTGGGACTGGACTAGTAAATAAGACTGTGTTTCCTTCAGCAGAGACTTGGCATCCGACAGTCTTAATAGATATACACTTTGCAGAAGGAAATAGTCCCAATCTTCATGACAAATTCCCAGATCAGTTTTCTCAATCAGATAGGCCAGCAGGGTAGTACACACCAAAGACATCTGGGGCATGAGAACAAGGGAGGAATTAACTTGTAATAAACACCTAATTCAGGGGTGCCTGTGTGGCTCAGTTGGCTAAGTGTCAGACTCTTAGGTTTGGCTCAGGTCATGGTCTCAGGGTCATGGGATCAGAGCCTTGCTTTGGGCTCCATGCTCAGTGAGGAGTCTGCTTCAGATTCTTACTCCCTCTCTCCCCCTCTATGCTCTCTCTCTCTCTCAATAAATAAATAAATAAATTAAAAAAAAAAACAAAACAACAAAACACCTACTGTGCCTGCAACTGTCCTAGGAACTTCCCTGCCTGATCTCAATTGATCCTTTTAACTATCACAGAGTAGGAATGATGATCTTTGAAGATGATAAAGCCAGAGTTCAAGGAAGGTACGTAACTCAGCCAGTGTCACCTAATTAGATAAAGAAAAATGTTGGGATTGAACTGGTCTGTTACTTCTCTTAGATGAGAGGCTGTCTCTGACTGGCACGTCATTAGATTTTAGCATTCTTCATCTACTTTTGCCTTTAAGAACAGTTTATTTTTTCCTAAAAAATGCAGATAAGGCATTTGTGGAAACCTGTAAGAAAACTAAAGCCGCGGGGCGCCTGGGTGGCTTAGTTGTTAAGTGTCTGCCTTTGGCTCGGGTCATGATCCCAGAGTCCTGGGATCGAGCCCCCGCATCGGTGGCTCCCTGCTCGGCGGGGGGGCTGCTTCTCCCCCTCCTTCTCTCTCTCTCTTTCTCTCTTTTTTAAAAAAAAAAAAAAAAACTTAAAAAAAAAAAAAAAGAAAACTAAAGTTGCCTATAACCCCACCACCCAGAGATGAAATCACCAGGGATGTTTTGAAGTTTTTTGTTTTTTGTTTTGTTTTGTTTTGTTTTTTCCTTTCAACCTTTTACTCTGCATTTATATCAAGAGGTCGATTCACATGACCAAAACCTTTGGTTGTAGTATACAGATAAATTTGTGTTTTCCCTTTTGTTTTGAAACCATACGTATCAGACATGGTTCAGACACTTTGAAAATAATAGAATTAAAATGGTAAACAGAGGAAGAAAGGTAAAGTTTGTTTGTGGAAATGTGGGGCTTGTGGTTTAAGCACAAGGATGCACGGGGAGTGCAGCAGGTGAGGAGGATGAGCCCTACTTGCTCTAGACCTCCCCACTAAATCATCCCTATGCTTGCCTTTCCTGTTTCTTTTGCAGGCAGCAGTTTGAATGATGGCTTGTGGCATTCAGTTAGCATCAATGCCAGAAGGGACCGCATCACTCTCTCTCTGGATAATGATGCAGCATCCCCAGACCAGGACACCACCCGCGTGCAGATTTATTCTGGAAATAGTTACTACTTTGGAGGTAAATTCCCCAGCTTTTGAAAATAAAGGAGGGAAGGAGAATGCAGTGAACAATTATTTCACCCTGATGATTTTTTTTGTCAATTAGGCCATTCACACGCACACACACATGCACGCGCACACACACACACACAACCATGGGTACCCACTCCCAAGCACAAAATAATGAGAAGAAAACTCTCTGACAGCTGTGCAAATATGAACTATGTAGGTCAGTACGGAGGAAAAAAAAAAGGAAAAAAATAGTTATAAGAGCCAGTGTTACATAACATGTCCAAAGGAGATTTTTGCAGCCATGCCAAGCTCTGTGATCACATTGGGAAGGAGAAAGTCAGCTGAAAACTTGGAGAATACGCACCAACAGTCAGCAGTATGTGCAAAAGGAAAAATCCAGGTGGGAAGGCACAATCAGCACGCTCCGCTTCTAGGCTATTCCTTTGCCGCTTTACTGTCTGAATCCCCTATCTGTTCCTTCCTTCCTGACATCCCTGTAGGCCATGTCAATGGAGTGGTGCTCTAAACATGGGGAAGGTCTAGAAGGCCCGTGAACTTGTAGCTCCACGTGGGGCAGACAGCACAGCTCCAGCTCTCTCCATTGCCGGGTGAATCCTAGGGACCTTCCCAATGATGAAAACACGGGGCAAACTGGAAAGGATGAAAAATATATGATTAGGAATTCACTGTATTTTTATGGTTGATGTTCATTTGTATTTAGTTTTTTCAAGGCATTTCTTTCATTAAAATATTAGTATCTAATTTCCTAGTCACCTGTTGGTATTAGAGAAATAGTCTCTGAGAGTACACTCCATCACTGTCTGACCTTGAGCAAGATACTGATGGTCCCTGAACTTCCTTATCTCAGACATGAGGAAGCAAAGCCAAATTGCTGGGAAACTTCAGTAAGGTCAGGGTTTAAGTGTGTAGCTCAGTGCTTCCAACAGGGCAAGGAATGGACAAACTGGGCTTCGACTTTTATAAATATGGGAATGGACTAGACCTGTTCTCAGGTTGCTAATTCTTTTTCCGTTAGGAAGCTTAAGGGAAGTATCATGTAAAATTATAAAGTGCAGTCTCTCAAATAGAATTTACAAATCACTTCTCTCATGTTATGGCATGTGGTTAGGCTTTGAAATACAAAATGGGCTTTGCACAGATTTAGCGTACATATTGGGGCATCCTGGAAGAGATGCAGCGTAGAGCAATATTTTTGTGGTTTGATTTTAAGGCCCCGGGAAGGGCCTCTGTCCTTCATTCTGAATCTTCCCCATGTGTGCAAGGACAATGGATTCCTCCAAAAGGGAGAACTTCCATTCGCTCTAAATGGTTTATGGGTCTTACCTCATTTAATTCATGGGGTAACTTTGTGAGGTAGGCAATTTTAGCCCCATTTCACAGATAATAAGACTGGTGTTTGCTGAGATGAAGTCACTTGTATAAATATTAGGACCGGGATACACTGCTAAATCTGTGTTCTCCACACCCACTAGGTTGGGACAACAAAGGGATGCTAGCGAATGTAGCATAAAGGCTGCAGAAGAAGGTTCTCAGGGTCCCCATAGGTACATTTCACAGATGGCATAATTTTTGCACCACATGCAATGTTTCACCAACAAAGAAAGAGAAGCATTCTTGTACTTATTTCTGGGGAAAACAATGTTCAATAATGATGGCATCCGAAATGCCTAAAAGGGGAAATGTCTGCCTTCCCCAAGTTTAGGGGGCACTGGGTTTATAAAGTGAAGATTTATCTGTGATTTAAACAGTATTTAAAGAAGCGCCCCACACGTAGACTGTAAACTTAAGGGAGGTGAAAAATGAGTTTGAGTAATAATAGTCAACTTACATAAATTCTCTCTACAGCTTCAATTAGAACTTGTAGCATCTCTTCATTTTATAGTGTGCCTGTGAGCTGTTAACCAGCTGCTGGGCTTCAGCCCAGCAGTGACTGTCTATTAGAAATGGCTGAAATAATTCCCAATTATTTATGGGTTATTGCCATGTTTTCAAGCTTGCATTCCCATATGCTCTGAACCTATTAAAACCATCGGGATAGAGTTTATAAAGAGCACAAGCACTCATATACCTACGTTGCTCTGTACCTGTCTTAATGAGAAGCAGGTATGTCCTGGTTGCAAGCTATGCTAAATCAGTATGCAATGCAGTTTTTTTTTTTTTTTAAGAACGCTGTTTAAAAAGGTATGGTGTTAACCTTTCACGTGTGCTATTACAGCCCTATAACTATGTGCATTTAAACCCTTAGTTCCTTTGGTGCCAGGATTTGCTTTGTGCAACTCTTCAAAATTCCAGTTACGTTCCTTTGTGTACCTTTCTCAGGAACTAAGCCTGTTAATGCTAACAATTAACCAGACAATTACTTTACCACCATCCTTACCCAAAGCATAATTTCCTTTGAAAGTGTAATTCAGAATTGAATTGTGCATTTAGAGTGTGTTTTGAGACAGAACCAAAATTCCCAAGTAGTTATAATATGTTGCCTCCTTGGGATGAGTGAAGTATACCACGCAACAGAATGGTGGATAGCTTACCAATAGGCGAAAAGAAATAGGAATGAGATAAATGTTACAGTACTGGTATTCCCTTTAACACATTTTGTTTTCTGTTCTGTACAGCGATTGAGTATGTCCCATTTTGTACCAACTCCATCCTTTCTCTGAGAATGCTAGGATTTACAACAAAAATGCGTGCACTGCTGTGAATGAAAAAGCCCTGAAATAATTAGACCTCCAGGTCCTCCATCAATAGGTCGCCAAAGAAATGACTGATCATTTCAGTATTCTTCATTTTTTTTTTCTCTGTCCCACAGGGTGCCCTGACAATCTCACCGATTCCCAATGTTTAAATCCCATTAAGGCTTTCCAAGGCTGCATGAGGCTCATCTTTATTGATAACCAGCCCAAGGACCTCATTTCAGTTCAGCAAGGTTCCCTGGGGAATTTTAGTGATTTACACATTGATCTGTGTAGCATCAAAGACAGGTAATTATTGTCTCTTCTCTGTTCTCCCACCCCCTTCCCATTCTCACTGTTCTAAATATGAGTTTCTTTAACCAAAATTCTAATCCACTGACATTAGCCATATTAGACATAATTGAGTCGCCTAATGGAAAATATTTCTGAAAGGATTTCAGGCCCAGAGAAAAATGGTTTAAATTAGTTGAGTCTCGCTTCATGTTGACTTGCAGTAAATGGGATATGCAAATTAAATCAAAATACAAATTTGTGACAGGATTAAAATTTTATGCATAAACAACATTTGATTACTTTGAAGTTAAGAGTAAAGCATAAAGGAGGGAAGGATTACTTCTCTCTTAAACCACTTTATTCTCTACTGCAGTGAGCGTCCTTTCTAATGGGGGCAAATGAGTGTCTGGCCCTCAGGGTCTAGAACAGAGGTTTAGAAGGCACCAGGGGTACAGTGAGTCCTGGGGCAGCTGACCTTTGTTGTTACTACCCCTAACCCACTGCTTCTTTGGCCCAGAAGAGAAGAGGCCGCAGACAGAGATAATCAGCATTTATACTCTGCAACTCACAAATCTAGCAGAAGCTCGGTTTCTCTCTTTATTTCTTCTGGGCTCCGACTCCTCTTATAAAGTTTCTAGGTTCAAAGACATGCTGCAGAAAGTTAAAGAGTACTGATTCTGAATTTTCAGCCAGGTTTATCATGTTCTCCATGTTTTATCTCTAGCACTTACTTCCTTCATTCTCACAATTTTGTTCATCCCTGTCAAAATATCATTTATTGAATGGGTGAATAATATGTGTTAAGTGCTTGCCTATGTGTTGGTGATACAGGGTCTCTGCTCATGTCTCATTGGGGAATAAATTAGCTGCTACGATAAAGTGCAATAAATGCCCAAGAAGTACACCCTTATTTGCGGGACATATGGCAGCCATAACTCAGTCTGGCCTTGGGGAGAATGAGGTCAAGAAGATTTTTAGGAAGTGGTGCTGAGATGGATCTTAAAGAACAAGCAAGACTTGTTCTCTGGATAGGTTCTCTGCATGCAGTGTTGGAAATGGCAGAGAAATAGGAGAAATCATGGCTGGCAAGTATTTCATCAGTTCAAGATGCTGGTTTTTCATTTTAAAATCTCTAATATTAGGATGAATTTTATAATCGATGGTGTATCATTGTTCAATCAGCAACATTTCTTTCTTAGTGGCATATAAAATAATGGTATGTCTTACAATGAAGAATGTCTTAGAGTCAATAAAATATAGCTCGGTGGAGATGGAAAGTCATTGTGGTGGAGTATGTGGTGTGAATATGGTTAGAGATGGGGTCTAGTAGCAACTATGAAGAAATTTGTGTGCCTGTGGGATGCGGCCTCATGTGCTAAGTGAGAATCAGGAAGGAAGGTATAAGATGTGCTTCCTAGAAAGAGTACTCAGGAAAAAGTAAGAAGGATGGATTGAAAGAGAACCAGCCCAGAGCTGGGAAGGTAACTGCCCCTGTCCTGGGGAGCAATGACAGGGGAGAAGTATCAGGTACCTCTCCTGAGGAGCACAGAAATCAGCTCTGCAGAGTGTAGTCTCCTCTGATGCTCGGAATGACCAATATAATTTGATGGAGCTTTATGTGCATGTTTTTCTGTTAATACCACTACACATGGGATCCTCAACAAATCACACAGACTTCTTGGCTCTTCTGCTTCTTTTTTTTTTTTTTTTTCTATTTGACCAGCTGGAAAAGTGGGTAATAAAATGTGTGCTTCATTAGAATGTGCTAGATTAGAGACTTCAGAATAAAAGATACTACACAAAATGGTTGCCACCCCTATAGTCTTTATTAACAATGAGGGGGGAGCATCCAGCTTCACCAGCCAGCAGAGCCTTTTGCAAAGTGGAGTTCAATAGAGGGAACATTTATCAATAGGGATCTCTTATGATACTTTAATTTCTAATCAAGGACGCTCTCATTATTTTCGATTACATGAAAGTCATTGCCGTCTATACTGCATCATTACTTTTGTGTAATTGTAGTCTGTATAATTGTATTACATACAATTGTGTTTTGGTTAATTGTATAATAAGGGATTGTGTTTAGTTTAGTGAGTAAATGGTACGTTTTTCTTGATTTACCAGACAGCGCCTCTAACAGAGTGGATACTGTGGTAAAAGGCTTTGCTTGATTAATTGTTTCTTGAACTTGTATTTAACATTTGTTGGAGAGGGGCAGGAGTTAGAAAAGCAGGTGGGTTCTAAGTTGTGTATTTTATTTTTAATGTGTTGGCCAATTGAACTTGATTTAAGGGCAAATGCAAAGTCTTTGTCTAGAGAGAGCTTGCCACTTGGGGATAGGGTGGGGTATGGTGGAAAAGGTTGGGGTGGAGAAGCCTGGCTGTGTGTGTGTGTGCGTGTGTGTGTTTTCTCCTGGCTGTGTTTTTTCCTTAACTGTGCTCCATTCTGGAAAGTCCAAGAAGAACAGCCTTTTATCTGGTCTAAGAGTCTCTTCTCTCCCAGACTCAATTCTCTGCCCCTTCCTCTTAGGCTATAGAGACCCAGGCCTCCTTCCTGGCCTCTCTGTGGTTGCCTGTCCCACCCCTCCATCTCCCTCAGAGCGAGCTGACCTGGCTGGCTGGAGAGACCCTGTCCTCTTAGTGTCCTTTAAGGCTCTCAGTGCCAGTCACTGTGGGAAAACCAAGGTAGTATTCACAGAAGATGCACAGATGTTCCAAAATTTGAAGAGTTTCCTCTAGTGGGGGTCCCTTAAGCAGGTTGCCTTTGAGATGGTACCTCTGCTGCCCAGCCTGAACAAATTCACAAACCAGCCATGAGACAATGCTGGTAACAGCTGGTAGGATCCCTTCTCAGGAATTAAGGAATCTAAACTAACAATTTGCATTTCAATGATGGGCAAATTACCAAGTCTTCTGGTCTCAGGGAAGAAAGGAAGTGGAGAAATTGGCCTGGCCCCCAGTTGGGCAGCCAAGAGGGCTGGATTTAGGAGGCTCCATCTGTAGAACTGCCCAGTGCCTGGCAGTCCAAGGGTGAGTTAGGAGAAGGAGGTAGAGCACCCTTTTAGGAATCACGTTTGGGACAAGACAGAGCATTCCTAGCAGATCCCACATACTTTCAATAGTCTTTCTTAACCTCTAAAATATGATGTTCATCTACTATCCCTCCCCTGTGGGCTGAATCTTCAGCCTCACATTTTCCACACCCTAGACCACTGCACTTATCTCTTGCAACCCTCGTGGCAAGACATGATATTCTAAACTACATAGAACAAAGTCACCCTCAATAAATGCTTCATTCCATGAACAGCTTTATCATACCCTCAGGTACACAAACCCATAGATAGGCATTGAGTAAATGAGCTGGGCAGTCTTATGTATATACTTGGGTAGTGTAAGAGGTGGTAAGAGCAGCAGAAATCCTGGTAGTACATCGCTATCAGTGTCTCCATTTTTTTAAAGATAAGACCTGGAGACATGTGTCATTTTTTCCATGGTCACAGGGTTAAAGTTGTGGCTCAGAGTTGAACACTGCTAGGTTCTCTCCCTTGTACTTCCCCCCAAAAGGCACTGGCCTGGAAATGGCAGGCATTGTGTGTCTGTGGCTCCTACACAAGCAAACCCATCTTCTGTCTAACCACATAGAAGTTTTTCAGGGATAATCAGTGTATTAAATTCTTTGTAAACATTAGTTGCCCTATGAGATTTCATTTAGAAGGGGGACATTCAAAGTGGTATGCAGGGTCAGGTGGGGTCTGAGTGGTCGTCCAGGTCAGGAAGTTCCTCTCCCCAGGATTTTTGTTGAAAGATCTACAAAGTCAGTTAGAGGAGCCATGCCCAGTCTTGCTGAGTCCAAAGTCCAGGGTAGGAGAGGCGTATCACCCAATGTTGTCTACAGATTTGATTGGGAGACTGGATCCAAGGTGTGAAGCCAAACTTGGAGGAGCAAACAGGGACACTGTCTTAGGTGGGGGCAGGTGGAAGTCACACCTAGGAGAATTCATTAATCTCAGTGCAGGTGGCAGCAAATTTGAGAGGTGATAGAATGTGTTTAATTCCCAGTCTACTACTTATGAGTTTGAGATATGATACATATTATTTAACCTTTTTGTTTCTGTTTCTTCTTTTGCAAAACTAAGATCATAAAACCTACCTTTGCAGTGAGAGTTAAATGAGACAGTGTGAGAAATCAGGTGCTCAGCTGCATGTCTAGTAAGCAGTAGCTACTCAGTACATGTTCTCCATGTTAATTCCTATAGCCAAAGGTTTGCTAGCTCTCTAGATTCCATGGGGAGAGGAGAAGGCTCAGGTCTCCCTCTGAAGTTCCACCAGCCCACCATTGCCAAGTGATCCCTATAGCTTCTGGGGTGGAGCCCCATAGATATACCTCATATGTGCCTTCAAGTCAGTGCCTTTGCACTTTAATTTTCACTTGTTCAGAGAAGCTGTTCCTTTGGGCCACCAACAACCACCCATTAGGAAAATGCCCATCAATTTGGGTGCCAAGGTTGCAGTCTTTGGTTCTCAGGGCCTGGATAAGATAAGGAAAGTATGTGATTGATATGCCAAGGGCACAGAATTTAAGGCAGTCCTTATTTCCCGGTTCATGCACCTGTGGACCCTGAATTTACATAAACCTGGAAGTGTCTCATTAAATTTTGCAGACAAATTCCAGCATGTTTACATCAGAATAACCAGGAGGACTTCTTAAAAGCCAAATTACTGGGCCCTACCCCTAGAGTTTCTGATTTTACTGTGGTGGGCCAGGGGATTTGCATTTCTAACAAATTCCAGGGTGCTGGTGGGCTGATCGTGGGAGCAGACTTTGAGTTCTACTCCACTAAAACCTCCCATCCTGGAGGTCAAGGGATTGTGTAGATTCTGTACAAAAGTGGTGTAGGTGTGGGAGAGAGGGATGGCTCCTGCTTCTACTGGGCCCCCAAGCAGCTGCCCTTCTGATCAGGATCTCACAGGGTCTCTGAAAACTTCCAGCAGCGCTGTCTCAATGTCCATCTCCAA